TTATTTCTCTTTCGTGTTGTAGAAGGAGTTCGAATATGGCTTGCATTGCAGAGTCATTCGCCACGTTTGTATAAAGGACGGTAACGTGAAGGACTCTATCACGTACGCGCTGCTGGGCTGTGCGGTACGTAGACGATCCAGAAACATCTGGGTATTCGTAAGATGGGCTGGAATGTGTTTCAACAACTGGTTAAATATTAGGGTTAAAAACCATGTTATCCTGTCCGCTGGCCCGTCTACACAGCTAATGATAGGTCTAACCTTAAATAACGATAGATCGGTAGACACGAGATCAACGCTGGATACTAATGTTTATGACCGTGGACACAGAGCGGTCTACCCATTTCGCCAACGTGTTCGTCTCCGCACGCTTTACAAGAGATCAGATAGACTGTACCTGATCTCATGCAATCACCGTCTCTACCATTTGGGCAAATTATGCAGTTTTTTGTTGTACATAGACGGTCGTATAGGCGGTTGCGAACTAGCTGGCGTCTTAGAGTGTCCGGTGGTATTTCTATCGCTCTTACGGAATTCTCTAGACCGGCCCTTATTAAGCAGCGTTTTATAGCTGGACTTATTTCGTTTGAAATAAAGGCCAACAGGAACGGAGCCTTGTCTTCGCTGGAATTATCGCTCTGGGGCGTGGGATTTCCTCGATGCCTATGCCGAGAAGCTACAGTTTCGTAACCGTTTGAAATGCCTATTTGCCGCGCCAGTTTCGAGGATTCTTCCCTCTGCTCTCTACCTCTGCACATGCTGACGGCGGTTCGAAACATATTTCTTATAAGCGCCCTTTTAGTGTGTGAGGGGTGAGAGGAGCGGTAATGAGCCACCACATTCTTACTGCTTGGCTTTCGATACCATTTTGTGTCGTAGCGGTTCTTGGATAGGTTAATTTGAAAGTTTAGAAATGGAAGCCAGTTTTCTTTCGGTTTCTCACGGGTGAATTTTATTTACTTTGACTGTTCATTCAATAACTTAAAGCATTTGTCCATCTCCCCTTGTGTGGAGCAGATGACAAAACAATCATCTATATACCTACAGTAGAGTAATGGCGTGAGATCGATTACTGGTGCTTCCACTTTAGACATAAAGGCAACGGCAAGGGTTGGTGCCAGTCGCTGTTCCATTGCCAACCCTCTAATTTGCGCGTAATATTTCTCGGACCATTTGAAGATCGAGCAGTTTAAACAGACTTTCAGGAGGACCATAAGCTGCTGAATCGAAAAGCCACACATGTTAATTGCTCCTTCGTGTTGCTTCGTGATGATGGGTCTCACTTTAAAAGTGGAGAGGTCCGTAGACGCCAGATCATCAGCGCATATTAACTTATGGGTCTTGATAAGTAAGTATAAGACGGGACATTTCGGCACTTGATCTTAAGATGCGAAATGTCTGCTGGTTTTAAACCTTTTCAGTAGAAGCGCGATAAAGAGATCCGTCTTCAAGATGTTTTCTGTTATATCGACATCTAACTGGCGAGGAATTACTACAAACTCTCCACCCTTATCACTAACTGATGGCCTCATAGTCTTTGATTTTAACTCTCGAACCTGTCGCATACCAGATTTTTGCGTAGCTGTCAGGTTCGAACTAAACCTTTTCGCGCGGCAGTGGTTAAGGACTTTAAGAGTTTCGCTCTAAAATATACGAAATTTTATATCGACTTCGTCGTTTGGGTCTTGCTGTCTAAAGAATAACCGAGGAAATGGAGGTGGTGGTAGTGCCCCTGCTGCTCGTTGTTCCTTTCTATTTTGTGTCTCAATTCTAGCGTTGCTTTGGAGTTGATCTTGGAGCTCGTGCAGGCTGCACGTGATCCTACGCGAGGTTTCTTTAGAAATGGGTTGCGCTGGTGAGAAACTTGGACCCAATTCTAATAGCGAGTGCGCGTCATCAGGGAGAGTTATGCCTCCTAACACGGTGACCTTTGACTTTTCAGGCACGTTATCGACCACATTTTTAGTGCTAGCGCTTTCGTAAAAGGGTAGTACAATTGCTATACACTGAGCGGCAGATTTATACCCTCCAAGGCAACAACCTATACCGACAACCGCCACTTCTATGTGAACGTGGACTACAGTCTCGCTGAAAAAGCTAGAACAACCCCATACAATGCGGTTCTTAGGGATCTTGAGGCACGTGTACCGTAGTGGTTAGAAATACCTTCTAACATACACGTAGTTGTTGTTTTCACCTTACGCGGCACGCAATCCAATCCGTACATTTCTTCGTGATTAGCTAATTGGTACGAGACCCACTTGGTAAGGTACTGACTTGGTAAATCGGTAAACCATTGAAAGTCATCTTGTACGCTAAATCACCTCTACAAATGTATGAACGGAATCGAACACATAGTGTCCTTCTCACCAAGAGTTCGGTCGATATCGGACACCCTATCTTTGCTATATCTTGGGAATCTCAAGATCACTTAGTGACTCTGACTTTCTGCACTGACAATCCAATATCTTGTTGGTCGCCCCTCGAACTACTCGATTGTTAGTGGGATTATAAAGGATCCACATGACAGATAAAGACCTCACAAAAGTCAAAAACATATCAGTGGTTAGGGTAGATTGCACAAAAATAGTCCATATTAGCATGTTGAACGCCGAGTTCATTAATAAATGATTATACAGTTGAATTTACTTTAAAAGAAAACTGTCATCCCAAGTCCACGATGCAAAGACAACACAACAACACAACTGACTTCCTAGCCTAGCACTTTCTATGAAATCTCTTGCTCTGACGTGAAACACAGCACATTTCTAAAATAGCTCTTGCGTAATACATTCATATTAAAACTTCTCAGTAATATTTAGCCTATGAACCTGTAAATATTTAAATAAGGACGTCAAAGTCGCGTAGTTCTTCATCTGTCGGTAGACTTGCAAGAACTCGTTCTCTAAAACAATACGTCACCTCACGTAGAAATCTAACTGCATAAGCGAGAAGCTAAGGTTTTCATTTCATAAATAAACCTTGGGACAAGATCAGGGCTGATGAGGGGAAGTCCAGCTTTTTCTCTACGAGCAATTTCCAAGTGTGCTTCACGAAGTGCCCATTCACGACCCATTGGCCTAAAACAATTGGATAGAAATCAGTCTGCACATAAGAACATCCCTTTGGAAAGATTCGTTCTTTTATCGATAAAATTTTAGTTCGTTGTAAATTCACAGTTTCGTGAAAGAATGGTTTGCTTTAGTAATCCCATGGACTTCCTTTCTGCAACTCGACAAGATTGGTTATGTTCTCAGTATAAAGCCACCGATGCACTGAATATAACAGCTCCTTATCAGAAAATATTGAAAAAATGAAATAAAAAAAACAAGATAACTTTACCCAAAGGCTCTATCCCGGAACTTAAATAAGCACAACTGAACTTTATTGGCTGTGTGGCCCCCGTATAACTTCCATTTTTCGGAGTTTCGCGGGTTTGTGGTCTTATCTAAGGTCGGGCACTGTGGTTCCCTGAAGTGCCGAGGAGAGCCTAACCAAAGTCTGCCCCAGGTCCTCACCAATATAGGCAATTGCAGCCTTTGTGGATCAAAGGGAGAATTGCCGTCATGCGACTGGTATGTGATAGCAGGACGGTGCTGGATCCTGGTATTGCTTTACCTTAGCTATGTTTCCTAATGGAAACGTCGGACTCCTTACCCGCTTGGGAGACCATGCTGGAGGGACGAATCCCCGCGCTGTACATCGTAGCGCAACACCCAGGAAAATCTTCTAACCACGGTGACAGGGAAAAACATTGGAAGGGATGCATATATCGGCAAAACATAACATGGACTGGCTAGATCGCAAAGTGAAGAAAGAATCAGAAAACTTAGTATTACGATACTTAAAAATGCCAAACGCCGACCCAAAAGGCGTAAATATCGGAATCTCAATTTTTCTTAAGAGCGAGTTCAACTGTAGGAATCTATACATAAAGAAATAGAAAGGTAGGAATCCACATCAAACTCGAAAAATTCCTATCACCTGTGTAAACTACTGCATATAAAGAAAAACTAACAAAAGTTTTATATTGTTTGAAAAACCTTGGGAATGAAGTTCCGTGAAGTTAAAAATAGTAAAAATGGAACTGAAGAGGATTACAAACCAATCAGGACGAGCAAATACGATCCAGCAGGTAAACCAGGTAGTTAACATGGTGAACAGTAGAAATGCGCCCTAAAAGTCGTTTGAAAAAAAGAATCTGTAAAATTAGAGATTACTTCCACATCTCTCTAATTTATTGGTAAAACTTTGGTTTTATCGAATTTTCTTCCCTTCCTAATGAAAAAAAAGGGAATTGAAACTAGACTACACATCCGCCGACGAATATGACACTATCTCAACAATCTAAGCAAATCTAATGGAAGGAATTTCGAGCAACATATATTCAAGACCTGTCTTTCTCCCCCGTATTTTTGCCACTATATTTCTTAACCGGGAGCGTGTAGCACAGGGATCGGAGGTGGCCTTCAATACACATGAGATCCATCCTCGGGCTTCAAGCCTACCGAGCCCTCCATCCCTCCGTGGTCGGCAAACTGGTACGAGACTTGTCCGGGAGGATATCAGCATTGGCTAGACATAACGGTAGGCCACCACGAGTCATTATAAACGCCAGACATGCATTCAGTCACCTCCAGCGATGCTTAGTGAAGTCTAACGCATGGCGAATCCCTCAGGGATCAATAAGCGCCCAGAGCACCTTTATCTTTTTAACTTTTATTTCCTATCCAAAAAAATTACTTCTAAAAATTTAGGTCTAGCTTACTCCCTTCATGAACAGCCTTACTCAACGCTCGAAAGAACTAGATAGACTTACACGCCGTTCAAAAACTTTCAAAAGCTATACCACGAAAACAGTGATTAGAACCACGTTCAGTAACGCAAAATAGTAGGAAACCAGCACAGCAATTCTTTCTTTGTTCAAAGAATAAACCTTATTGGCTATCGCATCTTCATTCATTTATCCATTTCAACGCCCAAGAGAACACTACATCCTACTTTATATATGCAAATGCAACACGTTGCCGACAAAAATACGGAGGTTTTCTCAGGTAAAGCGATAAAGGATAGAGCTCTCGACGTTGATCAATCCCTGAAAGATGCGCCACGCGTCCGACTTCATTAGGCATCGCTGGAGGTGACTGAGTGCATATCTGGCCTATAAAATGACTCACAGTGGTCTATCGATATATCGAGTCACTGCTGCCATCTTCCAGGTTAGATCTGGCATCAATTTTCGGGCCCCGGAGCGATGGAAGGCTTGGGGCGTCGGGATCGATCCCATGTGTATTGCAGGGCGCCTCCGAACACTGCGCTATACTCGTCCAATAGACAAACACATAAAATCCACAGTCGTCATGATGAAAGCCAACAGTTTCGAGACATCACATCATGAAATGCTCACCCAGATTGGTCAAATACATTTGTTCCACTAGCTTCCAAAAGTAGGGCTTCGAATTTTCTCTGTTTACTTGTTTACAAATTTTCAAAAAGTGAACACTGGTCAATCAACTAATTGATCAACTAATTTATAACTCTGGCTAGGTACCACGAAATTCAGAGGATTTCCTACGTTTTTAAAGACTAAAACTTAACAACAGCCAAGCTAGTTCATACACCCGGATTTTTCCCTTTACTACATTAACAGTAGACAACAAATCCAAAGCCGTATGCACTAGTCTAAACAACGTAAATATACCTGATGAAAGCTCAACCAATCTTTGTGTTCATCATGGGCAACCTGTCCGAACCAAATCCATTCTCGACGCTAAAAACAAAGAAAAATGTGAGGCAACCTCACCAAAAAATCAGAATCCTTTTCTAGCATCTAGAAAGGAATGAGGACTGATAACATAGAACCGAAATCGGCACGGAATATTGGATTAAAATTTACCATTTTTGCTCCCTGATCTTTTGCCAATGGGCGCCTCCAGCCGTCTCCAAAGAGCCAATCAAGTCGACCACCATTGAGTTTTGGCCATGGGTTGTCATAGGCGTATGAATCCGATCCAGGTCTAAAACGCAGTATGTAGAGAAAGCAGTGCAATACTTTATACAGTACAGTTCGCGATACCAACTTCTGCTTGCCTCTATCCTGGTGATATACCAGTTACCATTATCTTATAGGAAGTTTTAGCACAGTTACTTTTCTTTGGCTGACGATTAGTGGCTTTGGACTTCTCCAATACTGTCTTGTTCAATATTACTAATCTGCGAATATCGTAAGTTCACCAGACACTCTCGTGACAACCATATAGGTTAGGTAGGTTTTTATGAAGGTGACAGGCCTAGGCGACAAATAACCCAGAAGAACATCGATTAAGCACTTTAAACAATTATAACAAACCTAGGCTCAATACCGAGGAAAATAAAAGTGAAAGAAACAAGGAAACTGTGCACTAAAAATAAGACCAAGAACGCGATGAGCGTGTAGTGAAGCCACTCTGTGTTTAATGTGGTCGAAACTTTGGTTTAACACTTTCTCCACTTGGTTAGGGAGGTTCTTGGCTGGGTAGATTGCGGTCAACCTGACCTTTCCAAGTTCTAAGGAAGGCGAAGTCCACGAAACATCCGCTTTACCGTTAATGAAGAGTAAAATAGCTCCTCATGCTTGCTCAACAAAAATATAGAGAATTATTTGATCAATGCCGAGGTTAATAGAAAGTCGGTCGTGCGAATATAAAAGTATTGATATCTGCCTGTGGCGCAGTGGTCGGAGGCGCCCTGCAATATGCATGGGATCAATTCCTGCGCCCCTGATCCACCAGGCCCCATCTTTCCGACGTTAGTGAATAGGTACCAAACTTTCTGGAAGGATATCAGCAATGGCTCAATACATCGGTAGGCCGCCGAGACTCATGGTAAAGGCCATATATATATTCAATCACCTCCAAACGATGCTTAATGAAGTCGAATGCATGGCGCATCCCTCAGCACTTAATGAACGCCGACAGCTGCATCCTTTATTTCTATATTTTTATCCTTTACTGGCACTCTTTGGGATATAGAGGTCTTACCAACATAAATTAGATATGAATTGCCCGATAACAGCAAAGACGTAGACAAATCAACTACTAATTTCCAAACCCACCTGTACATGTCCGGTTTCCTTTCAATGTTGGCATCCGACTCAGAATGCGATGAAAGTCGACGCTTTGCTTGAAGAAGACGTCCTTCAAACTGACGCCCGCATAACCTTAGCAGCATCGCTGGAAACCTAAGCTCATTAACAAACAATTCACAGCATTAGCCGAACTTTGAAACCGATCTTATCATTCCCAGATGTGCCAAACTCGTTTTCAACAGCACGTGATGCTCATTGTTCACACTATAAGGTAATATATCTAGATTATTTGCCTTATAATCAAATCGGAAACCATAAAATCAGTCCAGTGATGATTCTGACGGAACAAAATTGGAGATCCTAAGACTACAGTACGTTAACTAATGAGATATCCAGGAAAAAAGATGTAACGGATACCAAGTAGCACAGCAGGACACTATAAGGTATGATGTCAACATATATAAAGCCATGATGAGGATTAATTACACTAAAAACGACATAGAAGTGAAGCTGAGGCGCAATGGAACACAAAGGCCAACTCTGTGTAGTTCTCCTGAAAGCAGCATCATCGAAGGACTGATAGCAGCTGTTTGATCCATGTGGACGAGTTCTCTCTTACCATCGCGCCTATTTGAATCCGAAAATCATGGCAATTTATAGATTGCTGTTTTCAATGTGCAGTTCATATAATCAATCACTTAGGAGACGTTACGATCCTAGTGTTTACACAAAACTCGCTTCTTCACTTCCAAACATCACGATTCTTCTTTTTACACAACCACCACAGCCCCACGTTGCCGATTCCCGTCTCTACCAATTCCTTTTCTCATCTACTTAATAGGAATGTGGAGGATTTCACATGGTATTTAGTTTTGTTTCATTTTGTAATTGTCTTTCTTGAATATAAGTTGTTTCTTACTGCGAACCAAAGTTCCTACTGCTTTCGCTAGAACTTCGGGTTGAAGCGCTGGTATATTTTGGACTATTTTTTAAATTTTTATATGACCCGTCTTCAGGTCTACTGTGCTCTTTCCATATTCGATTCGTTTCCTCGCATCCATCATCCTAGAAGATCCTTCTAATGTTACATTTGGCTCCGGCTGCTGCTTAAGGATTTTCATTTCATCTTGAATGCCGTAGAATACTCGTCGAATCGATTCTCCCTGGAGTCCTAAGATGGTCGGACTGGGTCGTCCCTAAATAGATTTCAGAGAGTGATTTTTTCCCTGAAAAGCGCGGCACTAAATTCTCGACCGCGGAAGGATGAGAGGATTGGTGAGCCAGGAGCGGAATCAAACTATCACTACGCTCGTAATGACCGACATCAATACCACTGTCCTATCCACCCCATATTTTTGTAGTATAACAAGTATAATATGGAAAATTACATTGTGTGTAAGGAATAGGAGGTATAATTGGTATAGTAATTCCACTCAGAGTCATCCTTTTAGCGACTAAGCTGAGTTCAGTTATAAAAGATCGAGATTCAGGAGAAAACACAAAGTGGAGCATAACCTTAACGCGATTTTGCAGCTTCTAAAGGATCCTTTTATCTTATGAAATGTTATTCCATAAATCTACACGGTTGTTTTAAAATTCCTCCTCATAAAGCTTAGATATTTGCAAAAGTCCGGACCACAGTTGTCTGCAGTAGGGATCGAACCCGTTATAATGCTTTTCGGAGGCTGACGCGTTCACCATCACAATATAGATATCCTTTGTTTCGCCTTTCTCTCAGGTGGTTTTCTATCTCTTGTCCTTCCTTCCTGTCTTACCTGTTGTTCTTTTCCAGTTTTTCTGGTTTTGCGATCGACATTCATGTTGTATCCTTTTCCTTCGTTAAATTTACGACTTAGTGCAACTCTTTCAGCACCTTCTCTGTAGGAAAACTTGTTATGAGGTGCTATACCAGTAGTACTTCCAGTGTATAGGTGTGAGGTTTTAGATCAGAAGTAAACTACGAATTATTACAGGTTAACATTCGAATGACACATTCTCTTACCAAGGAGCAAATAGCCAGATACAGTCGGCAACTTTTGATCCATGATTTTGGTGTGAAAGGTAAGGATCATGAAAAGTAAACCTGCTTTATCGAACGGATCCAACTGTGGGATTAAGGGGCCGTATGTATGAGTTATAGAGAGAGGAGCGCGTAGCGCAATAGTCGGAGGCGTCCTGCAGTACACATAGGATCGATCTCGCGACCTTGGCTCACCAGGCCCTTCATCCCTCCGGCGTCCGCAGATTGGTACCAAATTTATGTAGAAGAAGAGTAGCGCTGACTTTATACATCAGAAGGCCAGGAGTCGATGTATAGGCCAGATATGCATTCAGTCACCTGCAACGATGCTTAATGAAGTTGAATGCATGGCGTTCTTTGTTCCTACGCTATCGGTCATGGATAGTGGAAGGCTTTTCGGATTACCAATCTGAACTATGTATACGACGAAGTAAACGTTATTGAATGTGCACTGGACTAGGAATTTCTTCTCCCAAGAAATCTTGTTGTTTTATGGCCTTTTTTTAGCCCAAGAGGGTGTTTCATCGGCGAAGGTTGCTGTCGTTGGCGCTGGTGGGCTCGGATGTCCGGTTGCAATGTACTTAGCTGGTGCTGGAGTACATACGCTTGGTATCGTTGACTACGACGAGGTAAGCGATATCGTCGAACAAATTTGCGGCCGTGGTGGTTTCTAAACAACTGTCACTAATATTTTATTAACTGGAGTACTTAGGGATTTTAGAGCTTGATAGACCTATAGGAGAGGCTTTCAAAGAGTTAGAATGTTCAAAAGACAAGGGAGGATATCTAGAAGCTGTAAGTTCTGGTAGTTTCTACTTCAGGTTCACAAGGAGCTAAGATATGTCCCTTTGAAACTGAAAGGCGCAGCATTTTTAAGGCACATACATATTCAAATCAGTGCAATCTGGTCGGGATGTATTAATAAGGCTCAATGTACCATGAATCCTTCCAACGGTTTACCGCCTCACCGTGGCTGGAAGGTGTTCCTGGGTGTCGGACTGCGATGTCTACTGAGGAAATTCTACCCCCAGAAGGGCCTCCCAGGCTGAGAAGGATTCCGACGTTCCCATCAGGAAGCCCAGCTGAGGGTAAACCAACGCCGGTATCCATCGCCGTCCTGGCACCACACTAGATGCATGGTGTCATATCCCTCTTTTATCCACAAGAGCGGCGACTAATTTTAGTTGTGACGACCTGGGGCAAACTTTGGCTAGGTTGACCTCGGGACTCCAGGGAATCACAATGGCTAAACCAACAAGGCTCTGAAAAAACAGAAATTATTCTGGAGCCCGCACAACCAGTGGAGGCGTCCCATTCAAGTTTCCAAGTAAGCATCCGGCGTGATTATCGGTAGGCCTAAATTGTGGGTAGTCTTGACCAAGACACAGAAAGTGAAGAATTTAGCCTTATTTTCATTTGCAGAGAAATTTAGCAAGATATTTTAGGTGGCGATTGACAATCTTCACAGACAGATAGCACATAAAGAAAGTATGGTGGGTAAGTCGAAGGTGGAATCTCTCAGAGGGTCTATAATGGAGTGAGCTACTGTGTTTGTCATTCTACTGCAAACTCAGTGACTTCTTCTAGTTTGGTAAATATTTTAGGCTGAACAGTTCAGTAAACGTTGTAATGCATTACACAGTGTTGAATAATAAGTCTGCACTGGATATTCTGAGGCTGTATGAAATTGTAGTGGACTGTTCAGATAATCCTGCTACAAGGTAGGCTTCGATGTTGTTATTCATGTCGACTATAGCTGTTGCTCACGATGCTGTCCTTTTCTGAATTTCAGGTACCTTCTAAATGACGCTTGTGTCCTTCTAGGTAAGCCATTAGTAAGCGGTAGTGCATTACGGTGGGAAGGCCAGCTCACAGTCTACAACTACGTTGATCCAGACGGTGAAGTAAGAATCTTTGTACCTCTATTTCCCTTATCTCGCGCTATAAAACTTATTTACTGGACTGTAATGAGGGCGCGTGTGGCACAGTGGTCAGAGGCGCCCTACAATATACATGTGATCGATTCTTGTGCCAGTAGGCCACCAAACCCTCCATCCTTCCGGGGTCGGCAGATTGGTACCATACTTGCCTGGGAGTATAGCAGCACTGACTCGACACATCGGTAGGCCACTGTAAGCCATTGTAAAGGCCAGATATGCATTCAGTGACCTGCTAACGATGCTTAATGATGTCGAATGCATGGCGCATCCCTAAGGGATTGATCAGCGCCGAGAGCTTCATCCTTTTAAGGAGGACAAGGTTTTATGTGTAGTTCTGAAACCCAAGGATCAATATCTCCTGCTTTTGTTTAAATGCCGTTCCAGAGAGGACCGTGTTACCGTTGTTTGTTTCCTGTTCCTGCAAACCCTTCGCACATTACGAACTGTAACGAAGGAGGAGTCCTTGGTCCAGTAGTGGGAGTTATTGGAAGTTTGCAAGCGCTAGAGGTCTTAAAGATTTCTGCAGGGCTCAAACGTAGGTTGCTAAAGTGTTATTTGCCTACGCAAGCTGTCGACTTGTTTTTCTATATCTTGAATGTAGACTTGTTTAGCGAATTTCTCTTCCATATTATATTTATTTGATGGTAGCACTGGAATTTCACGTACAGTCGCCATTAGGCCTCGTAAGAAAGAGTGCGAATCTTGCGGGGATTGTCCTACGATTACAGGGCTTATCGACTATGAACTTTTCTGCGGTTCCGGAGCATGTGACAAGGTGAGCGTAAGTCGTTGTTCGATTTCCATATTCGATTTCGCTTAATTTCGTTTTTCTAGCTTATGCTTCCCCACATTGTCATTCGTTAGTCTTAGATCGATCTGTTATTTGATCTTTTTAGGTCCATAGCCTTTCTATTTTGCCACCCATAGATAGAGTTTCCGCATCGGAGTACTCTCAGATTAGGTCATCTCAGCAGGCACCAATCCTCCTGGATACCCGCCCTTCACACGAATTCTCTATCGCTAATCTTAGCGAAGCTAAAAGTGAGTTAGCAATGTTTTGCCCAATTTTTCCAACATTGTTAAGAACCTGGAGGGCGGGTAACACAGTGGTGGTAATGGGGTTCATCACGACCACAGTGGTTCGATCCCACTTCAGGCGCGCCAAGCCTTTCATCCCTCCGAGATCGGAAAGTTGATACCAGACTTGTCTTGCCTCTATTCACTCCCTCAGATCCGCTAAGTAACGCTCTAGCACAGCTATTCAAAAACTCTACGGGGAAGAGACTCGATCAAGGTTTGTAGAGCAGGCAACAAACAGCAAGCCGACCCACACGTGAAAAGTTGTTTGAACAAATTCATGGATGTATACGATGCGAGGGAATGAATTGAAGGTAAGAAATGATGAGATCCGCACAGTGGACCTGACGATGAGTCTTGTAAAATAAAATAAAAATAAAGTATTGAGGACCGTGCAAGAACTTTATTGAAGAGCTTTCGTTATCCTCGATTTTCTGTAGTGTTTCTATTTTTTCAAGCTTGTTCCTTTCAGATCTAACATTGAATGAAATTCGCCGATTAGACTCATTTGATATCCAAGAGCGGTTAGGTCTAATTCCTGGTGAAGAGCACTCGTCCGAAAGTGAGTTTGCGATGAAATCTTCGTTTACTTTTCTCGTTCTTCATAGGTTAATGTGGTTTCTTTTGAAACGAAAGTCCATGTATTCAATCTATAAACACTTCTGGTACACAAAATATTTATTAAATGAACGCGTAACCAGGATGAGTAAGGTAGACCTGCAAACAGTTTACATTGGTGGCTATCAACAAACACAACTAGATAAAACCTCGTAGATTTTCTAGTTGCATGGGTTTTTTGTGTATAGTAGCTTCACTTTAGATTTTCTAAACCCAGAACCACTTTACTTTTCATTGGAGGACTTACAAAATCTTTTTTTTTTTTACTGGAAAAAGTGGACGCACTTGGTTGTTCTGGCAAATAGTTTTTACTTCTTTCAGTATTCGTAATATGTCATCGAGGTAACGATTCGCAGCTTGCAGTAGAGATTTTGAAGAAAAAGCTACCATTCACCCGTGTTCGTGATATCCGTGGAGGATATGAAGCATGGGCTACGGAAGTAGACAAAGATTTTCCTACTTATTAGAGTTTTGCTTGTTTTTGAGCGTTTTTAACAAAATTGTGACTGTTTAATGAGCTTTAGAGTTCAAAATGTTGTAATCCTCAAGGGACTGTGAACTTGTGGTTTCCTTGTTGTTATTCTGTTTTTGTTACTGTTGAAACTTTGTTATCAACCGTCAAATGTATATTGCTACTACAACATACGACTAATTTAGATGACCTATTGGTTGTTTAAGTTGTTAAGTTTATATTCGCTTCCTGAAGACATAAGAAACCTGTCTAGTTTTTGTTGAGCACATCCTACTTCTCCTTATTTGTTTCTCCCTTATTGATTCTGGTTGAATGCGGAAGTAGAAATACAGCACCGAAGCGACCAGACGTAAAGTATTGCTTGCCAGTTTCGTCCTGGAACACCATTGAAAAGATAGGGGACCTGTGGCGCAGTGGTCAGAGGTGCCTAACCAAGCGCGCAGGTCGTTTGCTTGAGACAAACTCCGAAGAGGACAGGAAACTGACTTAACACATCGGTGGACCCAGTCATGACATTGTATAAGTCAAGTCTGCACTCAGTCGCCTCTAGGCTGTTATGAATGGGGCAGACGCATGACTGATCAAAAATCGGTCGGTAGCGAACACGTTTTCTTTTATCGCTTGTAGGCCTAATATATGACCACTGCTGCGTCGAACCACTAGACGGATCGTAAAAGTGGTAGTGTACCCCATTCATTAAATGTGTGAATCAAACATCGTCACAATTGCTCGCTTCACACGACAAAACGTCCGTTTTTTTGATAACCGTTCACCTCTTTCAAGCTCTTGCAGATCAAGAACATATCCCACCTTTAGCTTTTCCGAAGTGATTTTTATGTTGATTTCGCCAGATCGGAATCTGGCCTGTTTTTTCAGCTCTGTCACCTCCTTCATTCCTTGTGTACCAGTTTCATCTTCAATTTTAGAAGCCTCTGTAATGAAAGTAAAATCAATCAAACGAATGAAAATCTGATCGGTCTTCTCTGTTTTGAACTGCAAATGCTTTGAGACGAAAACACACTTATACCAATCTCAAACTCCCTGCACATTTCTTTTATCTCCACCTATGCACGTCTTTAAATCGTTTGATCTCACTGGCAGACCGTACCTTCTCGATTTTGAGCTTCCGTGTCGGTCTCAGGTTTCTCGTCCTCGGGACCATCATTTTCATCTGCTAATTCGAAAACTTGTATATTATTCAAGGATTACTCTTTTTAAGAATATTTTTAAGCAATTTCAACTACGACGGGGTAAAATGTTGCAAACTTCTACCGTACCACCACCAGGTTCCACGCCAGCGTGCTCTTCACCACCTCCTGCATTGCCTTCCGAATCCTTTCCTGGCTTTTTTTGCTCCTTTTTCTTCTTCTCCTTCTTCTTCTTCTTCTTGTCACCCTTCTTAGCGTCTTGCTTTTTACCCTTCTTAGGTGCTTTCGAACCAGGTTTACTTTTACCTTTTGGTTTTGGTCGAGACCTCTGTAACACTCAAATGTGAAGCTTAGAGGAGCTCCACTTTAGTTGACGTTGTTGTAAAACAGCGTTCTAAAGTTTCTCAAAGCTAACTTAATGGTAATATTTTTCTGTGTGGTTTTGCACCAACATCTCAAAGTAGTTCGTCTTTCTACAGTGTTCGTACTTCTACGCTAAATGGGTAGTTGTATTTGTAACAACGTTTGAATTTCGAACTTTCAGTGGTAATGGGTGTATTCTTTCTTTGTAAATCATGCTGAAACACATGCTTCACTAATGAACAGAAGCATTGTTTGGTTTTGTACTTAAATATTCTATGGATTTGAAATACAGCCACAAGGATGTTGAGATATGAACAGATCTCGGATCGTTAGATGGGTTCCGAGTTCGCAATTATCCCTACCGGGAGCTCACGTGCTATCTACTACACCAACCGAGGCCCTGGCTTTGCCTTTCTCTCAGCCTTTCTTAACTGGCTTCAATGTCGATTTGTGCTTCCCGTATCATTGCCGTTGACGAGTGATTGCTGACAACACTGATAGAGTAAAAAGATTGCTGAGTGAAAGGCAAAGGGCCAGGTGGTGCTGCGGATAGCACATGAGCCACCGTTAAGGGTAAATTCAGGTTCGAAACCAAACTGAGGTGCTAAGTTTTGTTCATATCTTAACTCTTCATGGTTTTATTTCACATCGTGCTCTGCTACGAAAGAAGGATAGGCTGTAGATAAAGTAAGAACATTGTGGCTTCATAGATTATTATGAAATACTAACCTTTCTAGGCCGACTCCTTTTCCTACCAAACGGTTTTGGTCGGGGTCTTCCGCCTCTTTTTCCTTCAAAAATCTCTCCTATTTTGATACGTTACTTTTAAGTCGGTTCACTTCATCAATATAAACAACTAGTTAGTAATTACATATAATTAGGAAGCAAATATTATCATCTCTGGGTCTTGAAAACACCTTCATATCAATTGAAATGTACCAGCTACTAAAGGCCAAATCAAGATCCAAATTATCCAGAAACATAAGGACTCCATAAATGCAGTGACCTAAGATTGCTCGAACACTTCGAAAATGAACTACCCTCTGTTTATCGATTGCTTATCGTACCTGAAATTTCCCTTCAATGAAGTAGATGAATAAAGATGAGAAGGAGAGCTGTGGACAACGTGCTTGCTGCTGCTACACGGGGTAAACGACAATAAAAAGCCAACCGTAACTGATTAGCTACTGGAACAGCTTTCAGCGAAAAACAAATGTTCATACTTAGTGCTGGCCACTACCGTTAAGGGAGCGCATAGTGCAGTGATAGTGATAGTGATGCCAATCACCCCGAGCCGAGCCCTAGTTCGCCTCCACACCGAGCTCCTCAATCCTCTCATCCTTCGGGCTCGGAAATTCGTACAAGACATGTCTGGGAAGTGTTCACTCTCTCCTGTTCGAGTGGTAATGCTCTATCCCGGCTACCTCAGGCCTTCAGAAAGAATCGAATCGACCAGTATTCAACAACATCCATAGTAGTGTACAACAATCCTCAAGAGGCCGCCGAACTCACACGTAAATGTTGGAACATCGTAGTCGACGATTGATGCCAGGAAGCGAATAAAATCCGAGGTTCTCGGATGCGCGCAGTAGATTTCAAGACGTGCCGTCTAAAAAAACGGATCATTACCTCATAATTTTACAAAGACGTTTTGCAATCAATGCATGTAACTTAGTATTATATTCGTTACGACGCTCTATGCGGTCATCACAGAACTTAACTAGTCAGATACTTAGGTGATCGGTTTCCACATGTCCTACGCCTCCCAGTACTTCTTCCGCTCGTTTCGTTCTCTTACGATCATTATTTAGCGTTAATCAAGTTTTTTTTCAAGTTACTGAGTTCATGTGTGGTTTCTAATGAGACTTGAGGGTGTAAGTTTCATTTCAGTGCAGTCGAACACCGCTCTAGTGAAGAACCTCTCTGGGTGGCGCCTTTTAACTAGTTACCATGTTTTTGGCGGGGTCGTAGTAGTGCAGTGTGTGTGTATGTGTATGTGTACGTGTATGTGTATATATATATATATATATATACGTATATCTAATTCTAGGGAAACCACAATGTTTAACGTTTTTGTTTTCTGCCTTCTATAATTTTCATGGCAGGTTACTAAGTAAGCGAAATACAACCACAACGTTGCTGAGATATTTGCAAAACTCTGGACCGCAGGTGTCTATGGTGGGGAACGAACGCGCTATTGTCCTTTCCGGGGAGTAACGCGTTCACCACCACACCATGCGGGTCCTTTGTTTCGCACGTCTCTCAGCTATTTCTA